GTGTGTGTGTGTGTGTGTGTGTGTGTGTGTGTGTGTGTGTGTGTGTGAGAGAGAGAGAGAGAGAGTGTACACTGATGCACTCATGCACTGCATATCCTGCCAAATTATGAGAAAAAAACCATGGCTGCAACCAACACAATAACCAAGAATCAATAACATTTATAATGCTTTTGTAACTCTTCTTTTTTATTTTTTTAAGGAGTTCAATGGAGATTCTGAGGTCCAGCAGCTGTATGACTGTAACTGGATTGTGGTAAACTGCTCAAAGCCTGCTAATTACTGTCATGTGCTCAGACGCCAGATTCTGCTACCATTCAGAAAACCGGTAAAGTGTAACATCGTCTTTACTATATTTTCTGTGTCTTAATTAGCTCCAGTTGGTGCTTGTTTTGTAATTATTGATTTTACATTTGAAATTCAGCATAGATTGAAGTCACACGCGTACAGTAAGCCTACTACCAGAAAACATCCAGATGGTCATTTGACAAGACTATATATAAAAGGTAATTCCTTATTTCCTTGCTGACATTAAAAAAAAGCAGTTTGGGCTTTGCATTTATCTTTGAGTGGGTCATGTCTGTTATTGGAATGAAATCAAGAGTCTCAAATATGAAAACATAAGAGGCACAAACTGGGGTTATGTCCTTTTCACATCTGTTCATTGCTTTATCATAAGAGACAAACTATTAAAACTACTATGTTATGATACAATACTATATCAAAAAGGATCTCTGTGTTCAGAAAGATGCAGAACCTGATTTAAACCTCTAAAGTAGAGCTAGTTTGGGTATAAAGTTTTGGGACGTAAAGCATTTCTCCTTTTGTGTATACGCACAGCTCTTTTTTCAGTCTCTCACAGTTTTCAGCCACAGTGAATGTCTTAACTGATCCCCTGTTGCACATAAATGCAATGCTTTACGAAGCATGAGAAAATGACTTCCTGAGCAAATTAGCGAGGGGGCCAATTGGGGATAATATTGTTTGTTTTTTATGAAAAACTCTGGATTTGGTCGACTGAGCACAAAGGGTTTTATTTACTTGATTGTTAAAGAAATGTTTTGTTTTCCCAATGCTGATGTTGCGTGCTGTATGGTGGCAGCAAATTAGCGTGAAAAGAGATAAAAACTTTTTTCTCTTGAATTTTTTTCAAAGCGTGCAAAAAAAGATACGGATGATAGAATCAATCTGTTGTTTGTCATTGATGGAAACTTTTTCCTTTTTTTTTTTCCCCACAGCTGATCATTTTCACTCCAAAGTCTCTGCTGAGGCACCCTGATGCAAGGTCCAGTTTTGATGAGCTCGCTGAAGGTAGAGTTTTACTTTGTCTCAGTAAAATGTGACGTAAACATCTGTCATAAATGTTGGTGGACTGGATTTGTGTTACATATCATATTCGATGTTTGCAGGCACTAAATTCAAAAGGTTGATTCCAGACGAGGGCCTTGCGAGTCAAAACCCATATCAAGTGAAGAGGGTGATTTTCTGTACTGGCAAAGTCTACTATGAACTGGCCAGAGAGAGGAAACAGCACAAATTGGAGCAAGACATCGCCATCATCAGACTTGAACAGGTGTTTAAACCCTCAGCGCAATGCCATGCTCTGAATTTTGAAAAAAGAGTGATACAATGTCATCATTTCCTCGTCTACTTATTCTTTGACCTCCCCCCTCAGATCTCTCCATTCCCGTTTGACCTGGTCAGAGCAGAGGCAGAGAAATACACCAATGCTGAGCTGGTCTGGTGTCAGGAGGAGCACAAGAACATGGGGTACTATGATTACGTCCGGCCACGTTTACTCACAGTGGTGGCCAACAGGAGGCCAGTTTGGTGAGGGTTTATGTTCACTTGTCACCTGATTTGTTCATGACAGAGGTAAATTGGAATAATGCGGTGACAAACCTTCAATATTTTATTTCAGGTATGTGGGACGGGACCCTGCAGCTGCTCCTGCGACAGGGAACAAGTCGACCCACCTGAATGAGCTGAAGAGGTTCATGGACACAGCGTTCAACCTGAGCGTCTTCCATGGGAAGGACTTGTAACTGAGAACTGGAGCGAGAAACAGACTGGAGGTGCAGTTTCATCTCCAACCATTATGGTCTATTTATTAAGTCTTAAATTAAGTGCAAATTGGCACGCTTTTAACTCTTTTAGCTTTGTGACAATCTGGAGCATAGTGTTTTTAGTAAATATAGTTTCAACCCGTAATAATCTTATGGGAAAGAAACATCGACAGCGCTAACTGACCTAGTCCTGGATCAGACGGCACAACGTTTATGTTTATTGAGATGCTCTCTATGTCAGATTTAGTAAGAGATCATTGTTCAAACCCGATCAATAATAGCTTGCAGTCTTTCACGACCTGCAACAACTATGATGTGAAAAGCATCATGAAGCACAACAACAAATTGGACGCACTAGTCTTCCCAGGGGCCTCGCGAGTATCCCAAACACTGTGATAGGACGACAAACTGTTGTGCTCTGACCATGTCCCATGCAAGTAAAATCAAGTCGTTCTGATTGGTGTAGCCTCAAATAACCCTTTATAACCATTTGTCCTTTTAACCTCAGTTTGGATAAGGGACACTCCACACAAAACACCTCATCTGTCATCGGCCATTTACAGTCCAATCGCATGTAGTCTGGATCTGCACTTTATTCAATGAACACTACTCATCGCAGGACATTTACTGTATGAGGGCTTATATGTGTGCATGCACCACAAAGCCTTGTCTAAAGAGAACCAGACACAAAGACTTCCAGCCTCTCAACCGTGCTACAACACCTTCATTTCAAAATAAAAGAAAATACAAACATCAAATAAAAGTCACATAATTGTTACCGTTATGTGGTGAAGTAGCAACTGTACCCTCTTTGTACCCCTAATAACACACCAAAATCAAGATTTGTGACAATCACGGTTATTGGAGTAGCTTTAGTACTGTATTGCCGCCATGCTGAATACTAGTATATGATAGTAGTATAGATTTGTTTTTGTATTGATATTTGTAGATGAGTAATAGAAGCAATGAGACGCACACAAAACACCAACTGGTGTAATTAAACAATGAATGTGAAATACACATCGCAGGTATGAAGACTGTTTCGAAATTTAACACATCAGTAGGTTTAGTGCCTGTATTTGTTTTGGCTACCTTAGCTGTTAGTGAAGGAGTGTGTATTTATTGTCACACCTCACTTCACCAGGAGACGTGAGCCAGCTGCCACAGCGACTGGCAGCCATGTTTTCTATTGAGGACATAAGGCTCAGCTTCCTCTTTGGAGGCTGAGGGATGCGCACACATAAATACAGCAAAGCTTTGGATGCTTTCAGAGCAATATTGGCACTTTGTTGTCACGTTAAAATCCCCAGGTATTAGTTACCACTGTGTTTAGAAATGTTATGTTTCCTGTTTCGCTGTACTGTAGCTTACCTTTTTTCACTTTCAGCTGGGATATTTAAACATAAGCCATGCACAGATGTAATTTTACATATCTAATTATTTTAAAGACGGATTATGTGTGTTAGTTTTTTAATGAAAAAATAATGTCCACATATTGTCGTGGGCATTAAGAGATATGCAATAAAATATGCAATAAACTATATTTAAGTTGAATAACCTGCTTGGTCATGATTTTTGGTTGCAGATGATGCTTAACATAATGACTTAAAATAGTTTAAAGCAAGAATTCATACATTCTTTTTTTAAATTTACAAATCAGCCTGTAAACATATGCTGGAATTATACAACCAGGTTTTCTGTGTGTCAGTTAGTTTGTTAAAATAATAATTTAGGAATAAAAAAATGAAATAATCATAACCCTGGAATATGCGATGGGTGACACGTGCCCCTCTAAAAAAGACCGGCCCACAAGATTAGCAAGTAATGCAGTGATAATAATAACAATAATAATAATAATAATTTAAAAAAACAACAACCAATAAGTGCATTTATATACAAATTAACTGTTGTCTAGACTGGGTTGTTGAACAAGAGAACGGAATGCACATATTATATTGTGTGTGTGTGTGTATATATATATATATATATATATATATATATATATATATATATATAT